GTAGTTAGTGGGAAGGAAAGGAAGAAGTATGTCTGCTTCATAGCGTCTTGAAGCCAGAAGTTCTATTAAATTTTGTTGTTGTTAAGTGCCATCAAGTCGGTCCCAACTCGTAGCAACCCTGTATAGGATTTCCAAAGAGTGGCTGGGGAGTTTGAACCACGAGAAACCCACCTTGTGGTCCAGTACTTTATCCCACATCACCATACTAAGAGCTGTAATTGACATGGTAAATAAGGAAGTTATTGCTCCTCAGGTGGTTGTGTTTAGAAAAAGAAGAAAATTGTTAAATCTGCATAATATAAAAAGAAGAATTCCTACAAGGACTGTGGATGTTTAGAAGCAAGAAGGATCATAATTTATTTAAGTAGGGTTTGGAAAAGCTTTAAGGAAATAGGCTTGAAATAGTCTGGGAAGGCTCATAGTTAGGAAATGGAGAGAGGAAAGCAGGTGGCAGAAATAAAATGAGTTTGCCTTTCTAGATTCAAACTCAGAAGGGTTAATAAACAGGTGTCATTGCCAGTAGCTGGCAGAACTGTTTATGTATTTGTTTTACAAGGTAGTTTTTCCCTCAGAGATTCTGATATATTGGATGGGCGACATTAACGTTCTTAAGTGATCATTTGTGGCAAAGCCTCCATCTCTGCATAAACATAGTAACTAGTTGCCAAGTGCCAGGTTCTGTTGTATATTTTGACTAAAATTGTTTCAAAGAATTAATGATTTAGCAAGAGAAATAATTTAATACAAACATCAGCCAGAGGGCTTTAGTTTTAGTAACGCCAAGGCCTTAGTTAAAAAATTCTCTTCCTCAACACACCCTAACTCTGGAGTAGAAATAGAGATGACTATTGGAGTAACTGAATTACAGGAACTAAAAGTGAGAAGGTCTTAGAGATGAACCGTTCCAACTCATCCATTTTACTGGTGAGAAAACAGGTTCACAGCACAGATCCGCAGATTAGTCACTGCTTTGCACAACCAGGAGCCCTGGTAGCGTAGTGAGTTATGCATTGGGCTGCTAACCACAAGGTCGGCAGTTCTAGTCCACTAGGCATTCTGTCGAGCTTTCTGCTCCCGTAAAGATTTACAGTCTCAGAAACCCTGTCTAGGGTCGCTGTGAGTCAAAGTCCACTTCACAGCACACACCGCTAGCACCATTTGCTCGTATTTCGTGGATGAAGGAATCTCTGATTACTCCTTTCTCTTGTCCCAAAGTCCCCTCTGGAAGTTTCTTAACCCCTTCCAGGATGTAGAAGCAGTCACAGTGAAACTCATAGAGAGGGAGGAGTGTGTTCCTTCTTGGTCAAGGACTTATTCTATATAAAACCTTTGAACTAAAAACATTCACCAAACAGCAAAGTCCAGTTATATCAGGTAATTTAAGGAGAGCCCTGAGGTCCTCACCCACTTAATACTTCTAAGTTATTTTTGCAAACATCCATACTGAATTAGGAGCCTAGAGGTTGTAGTGGTTAAGCACTTGGATGCTGACTGAAAGGTCACTTGTTCAAACCCATCAGTGGCTCTATGGGAGAAAAGACACAGCTATCTGTTCTTGGTGTGGCATTGTAGGAAAATGCACTGGACTGCAGGGTCGGTTTGAACGGCAGGGCCTGCAGTTCAGACCCACCAGTCGCTCCTCGGAAACCCTATACAGGGTCGCTATGAGTTGCAATGGACTCGACAGCACTTAATAACAATATGCTCCTGTGAAGATTACAGTATAGGAACCCTATAGATCAATTTTATTCTGTCACATGGGGTCACTATGATTTGGAATCTACTGTACACAGTTGTTGGGGTTGTTAAGTACTGTGGAGTCGGTTCCGAATCACAGTGACCCTGCACAGGGTTTCTGAGGCTGCAGATCTTTACAGGAGCAGAAAGCCTCATCTTTCTCCTGCGGAACAGCTGGTAGTTTCGAACTGCTGACCTTGAGGTAATGGCTAGATTGGTGACAAAAGTATAATAATTTCCAAAGACAGCATCTTTATTTGCTAGGATCTTATAAAGATCTTTAAGTTCCATGAGTTTGTTGTAGCTGTTTTTTCTTGTCATTTAAAAAATGGATCTTTGTTTTACATTGAGCAATATAGGATTGCTGTTCAATTTAAATAAAGAAGTATTTGATTGTAGTGAACAGAGGATTATAGATATAGAGATGAGACAGCAACTTTTATTTGGAAGAATACCCACAAATCTATAACTACAGATAGTCTGTTAATAATTTTCTTATTGACATTGTTTCTTTGTCAGGCTAATTGGTCTAAAAATATTCATACTTTCTTTTGCAAATTTAAATAGGTGTAGGATCAACACTGGACTGTGAATCACAAGGTTGGCAATTCAAACCCACCAGCTGCTCCTTGGAAACCCTATACAGGGTGGCTATGAGTTGGTACCAACTCAATAGCACTTAACAACAAAAACAATAGTGATGATTTAGGGTGCATGTTGTCTCCATGCAATAAGCACTGGATTGTAAACCACAAGGTCTGGTTCGAGCCCACGAGCTACTCTGCAGGAGAAAGATGAGGCTTTCTGCTCCCGAGAAGTAGACCCTATGTACAGGGTCATTCTGAATCAGAACTGACTCGGCAGCACTTAACAACAAAATAATGATTTACAGGCTCATTTTCCTTGTTGATAATTTTAAGAGAGTTTCATTAGGTGTATATGTGCTTATGTTTTCAGTCTTGGAGGAAGCTAGAAACAAGGAATAGAATGAAACAGTTTCTAGTCTGATTCTGTTAGTGTGACATGAATAGCTCCTTTCTGTCTTGAAGACCCAGTTTCCTCTGGAAAACGAAGAAACAGAAGTAAATGAGATTCTTAATTGTCTAATTCTGGTGACCTGTGATTAGAAACGAAGAAAGCAGAAGTTATTCAGACTAAAAAGCATGCATTTGTATCTGGTGACCTGCCTGTCACATTCTTTACACACTTCTCACATTCACAACCATCTGGATCTTATTGGTTTTTATTGCTATAGTGGTTCTAGTAACTTTAACTAATGCTCTTTATTGTTTACCTGTTAATGTTCTGTGAACCTGTAATTAAAAAATGATAACATTTCACCTGGCAACTTTTTATCATTTTCAGATTCATAATTAATACAATGTCTGTGTGTTTAGCACCTGAAATCAGGTTTTTAGAAATGTCTTCCTTTTCTGTAAGATTGTAATTTGTTACATTAAAAATAAATATATGATAATAAATGTACAGTGGAGAGTATATTATTTCTTACACAAGGGGCTTCAGACAGCCCATGGAAAAAATTTTACTATCTTTTAATTCCATATTTTCAAGAACTGTTTGAAGCTTCCTTGTACATACATTTCAAATATTAGAAGGAAAGAATGTTTTTCTTAAAAATACATGAAAAATAGCAATTAGGTTTGGGTTCTGATGTCTTTTTGGTAATTTGAGCTGTCTGTATATTAGAGTCTGAAGTCTGTGTTCTCATGTAACATTACTGATTTTTATTGTTAAAACAAATATTTGACTTTGTTTCTCTATTGTTTGGTTCCCTTTTTTATGATACCTCCCTCCCCTCACCTCTCTCTGTACAGGGTGGGTATTCCCCCTCCTTCTCTCCTTGGCAGGGCTCATTCCAAGGGACCCCACGGACTGTTCCACCGCACCGCAGACAGAGTGAGTCTGGCCTCTCACTCCTCCCCTCGTTGGCTTCCCTTGGTGCTTTCCTCTGCATGACGCCAAACCCTCTGTTTCTCCCTTCACAGTGACCTGCCTGCTGGCCTCCTCTCTTAATTAACACTTGTTTGACTGCATGTCAACAAACCACTAAAGAGAGCTTTATAAAAAGCTGCCAGAAAAGTTCATTTCACTCTAAAGCTATTTAAACCTGTTGCCAGTGACCCTGGACCTAGGTCATGCATCTGTCTGTAATGCATTTTCTTTTGTTAAGACCATTAGATATGATTTAAAAACTCAAGTGACTTTATCTAGTCATGTTAACAAAGGTACCCGTTATCTGTAGTGGAATGACTAACGGACAGATGCATACGTTTAGGAAGCAGCTTACTAGACCGCCACATGTTTCTCTATTTCCTAAGGCCTTTTGGTTGTATTTCCTTGTCATCTCAAAGAAGGCTCTCTATGGTCATGTTTGCAAGAGTGCTTTTTAATAACTAATAAATCTTTGACATTTATCGACTGCTGTATAGCACAAAATGATACAAATTTGAATATGCATGTTTTTACTAACATTTCTGATAATTTAGTAATTATTTGACATTAAAATATTGCTATATTATATCTACTTTCAAAAACAGTACTTTTTTCTGTGTTTAAGTATTCTGGTAAGTTGGTTATATTTTATCTTTTTTGAAAAGTCACTCCCCAAAATTTAATATTAACGAAAAAGAAATATAGTCAATCAGAGCCAACTTTTGTGCCCTCTCTGTGGATTTACCCTATCTGTGATTCTATCATTTTATTTCATGAATTATTTCATACCTATGTTCAGTATTAAACGTCTAAAAGGGGAAAGTTTTGAACCATTGGAAATGTGATTTTTTTAATAAATCAATTTTATTTCTCAGGTTAATAAAAATTTTGAGATATAAATATGAATTCAAAACAAGGGATAAAGTTTATTTTTGGGATATTAACTTTCGCTCCAAAAAGTAAATTTTTTGTTTGAAAGAGAAAAGTAGATGAGAGGGTTTATATAAGTGTGTACATTCACATACTTATTTGCAAGGTAAGTCCTTTGGTGAAAGCATTGTAAAGAGGAGTTCCTTACCTTCCATCATCTCTGTAAACACTCCCTTTTACTCCTCTTGTCTTCAAGTCAGTTACACAGATTGCTACCTTTGAACCCACTGCTGTTCCACTGTGTTGGTCCATCTAGTTGGGGATGGGGGGTGGGGGTCCTCTTTTTCTCTGATCTTCCACTTTCCAAGTGTGATGTCTGCCTCTAGGAACCGGTCCATCCTGATGAGTTACCCAAAGTAGAGGCACATTCTGACTGTATTCCTTCTAAAACAGATTTGTTTGTTGTTTTGGCAGTCCATGGTACTTTTTTTCAATATTCTTTGCGGACACCATAATTCAAATGCATCGATTCTTTTACAGTCTTCCTTATTCATTGTTCAACCTTCACCTGCATATGAAGCATTTGAAAATCCCATGGTTAGGTCAGGTGCACTGTAATCCTCAAATTCATACCTTCACTCACTCTTTAATACTTTAAAGAGGTCTTTTGCAGCAGATTTGCCGAACACAATACATTTCTTGAGTTCTTGACTGCTGCTTCCATGAGTATTAATTGAGTATCCAAGTGCAATGGAGTCTTCAACAACTTCAGTCTTGTCTTTTCTTCATTTTTTATGATGTTATTTACTGGTCCAGTTGTGAGGATTTTTGTTTTCTTTATATTGAGGTTCAATCCGTACTGAAGGCTGTAGTCTTGGCCTTCATCAGTAAGTATTTTAAGTACTCTTTGTTTCTAGCAAGCAAGGGTGTATCATCTGCATAATGCAGGTTGCTAATGAACCTTCCTTCAATCCTGATGCTACATTCTTCATATAATCCAGTTTCTTGGATTATTTGCTCAGCATACCAATTGAATAAGTATGGTGCAAAGGATACAACCCTAGTGCATTCAGTATCCCCTTGTTTTGTTCAAACAACTGCCCCTTGGTCTAGAAATCTTAGCTACTTTTATCTTTATATACTGTAATTTATATGGGAAAAAATAATTGTTTTTAAATTAAAAAGTGACTTAAATACAATATACATTCGTTTTAATATGGAGTCTTGGTGTGGTGCTGTAGGATTAGCACTAGATTGTTAACCACGCAGTTGGCGGATCAAACCCATCAGCTGCTCCTTGGAAATCCTATGCCAGGATTTTTATGAGTAGCAAACGAATCCACGACACTTAACAACAGCAATAACATGTCTTAATATACTGGCAGTTTCTTGTTACTGCCAGCATATCAAAATGATTATGAGATCATCATTATCCTGATACATACATTGATGTCTAAATTTATGGCACTTTAGGATCAGCACCGAACTGCAAACCATAAGGTCGGCAGTTCAAACCCACCAGCTGTTCCTCAGGAAACCTACATAGGGACCCTATATAGGGTCCCTATGAGTCACACCCAATTTGGCAGCACTTAACTACAGCAACAGCAGCATCATAATAATTGTATTCACTAGAATTACGTTTGTTGTTTTTATTAAGAGCCATCAAGTTGGTTCTAACTCACGGTGACCGAATATATAGGGTTTCTGAGAAGGTTTGAACTGCTGACTCTGCGGTTCAAACTGACCTTGTGGTCCAGTGCTTATCCAGTAGCTCCACACCAGGAGGACGCCATTTACGTTAAGAATGACAAAATTATTTTGTCTTCTCTCCTCCTCCTTTTATAATCTGCAAGGGGTCATTCACAAACTTATTTGAAAATAACAATAAAAAAATTGACTTTACATTGGAACCCAGAATACAGATACACTTGTGTACATAATAAAATTCAGGGAAAAAAGATGCTTGAAACATCGATACTCCAGTAACTTTTCCTCTCTAGCCTATTTAATTAAAAATAAAAATTA